ATTAGTGTGATAATTGTTTTTTAATGTGCTTTTTAGGCCTTTACGATGTCCTCACTTTTATATGTGAAGTTCTTGTCAGTTGACAAGAACTTGTCAGTTGTTCTGAAGTCCATGCTACCATTTTTAGTGTCATTAATACAGTGGAAGCTAATGTAATAAGCAATTCTTATCTCAATTAGACTTAGATTTTCAGAACACATGAATATTGTAGAGTTAGAAAAGTCTGTATGATTCAGTTATGGTATTGCAGAACACTGACATGGAAAATAATATTATGTTGGTTTAAGTCATTAAACTCCAATTCAATTGTTTATGCATTAATCCTAAGGCTATTACTATCCAACAACTACTCTGAAACTAATACGTAGCTTTCTAATAAACAGACAACTTTTTTTTTACATTTTGTAAAATGCAATAAAAACAAGAATCTGTGATTTGTTAATTCTCTTGGACCTTTTAACTGACAAAAGTACAAAGAAAAGAATGTTTTCACTAACCAACTTCATTGTATTTTTATAAAAATAAACAAATTTAGAATTTGATACCTGCAACACACTAAAAAAGTTGGGGCAGATGCATGTTTACCACTGTGTTACATCACCTTTCCTTTTAATTACACTTTTTATTTGTTTGGCAACTGAAAATACTAATTACTAAGTTTTGCAAGTGGAATTTTTGCCCATTCTTGCATGATACAAGGCTTCAGAAGTTCAACAGTCCTTGGTTGTCATTGTCTGATTCTCCTCTTCATGATGTGTCATACATTTTCAATAGCAGACAGATCTGGGCTGCAGGCAGGCTAGCCCAGCGCATTCACTCCATTTCTACAAAGCCATGCTTTGTAGCATGTGCAGAATGAGGCCTGGTATTGTCTTGCTGAAACAAGCAGGGAAAAAGACGTCACCTTGATGGCAGCATGTCTCTCTAAAATCCCGATATACACCTCCATGTCAATGGCACCTTCACACATGTTCAAGTCGCTCATGCTGTGGGCACTGATGCACCCCCATATGACAGATGTTGCCTTTTGCATTTTTTGCTGATAAAAGTCTGTATGGTCCCTTTGGCCTTTGGCATGGAGAACTCAATGTCTGTTTTTCCCAAAAACAAGCTGAAACGTAGACTCACGTCTTAGCTGTATAGCTTTCTCCTTGCGTAATAGAGTTTCAGGTTGTATTTCTTCACACAGACTGTGTTAAATGACGAAGGTTTTCCAAAGTACTCCTGAGCCCATGTGGCTATATTTAACATAGTACCACAATGGTGTCTCTTGCAATGCCATCTGAAGGGCTCAAAGGTCACATACATACAACAGAGGTTTCCGTCCTCGCCTACATCTAGATTTCTCTAGATTCCTTGAATCTTTTCATGATGTACAGTAGATAATAATAATAAACTGATAGAATCATGATCCCCTCACCTGTTACCAAGTCACCTTCTTATTTTGGAATGTTTCAAAACTGTGTAACTTGAATATTCTATAAACCTTTCGTTCTTTTTCACATTTTGCCCCGTCCCAACTTTTTTTGGGTGTACTGCTGGCATCAACTTCAAAATTTGTTTATATATACAAAATACAATCATTTTGTCTTTAACTTCTTTTCCTTTTGTCAGTTAAATAAATTTTCAAAAGAATTAACAAACCACATATTCTTGTTTTTACTGCATTTTACAAAATATCCCAACTTTTGTGGAAATGGGGTTTGTAGATTAAGGGTAAGATTTCTGGACCCACCAACATGTTCTTAGAGCTTAGAAGATTCATCTGAAAGAGTACATGGCTCTGAATGCAGGATAATAAGCAGCAAGTTGCCAATGTCATAACATTTTTTATTTTGTGACATCATTTGAAAATACCAGTTGTCCTTCACATTGTGTGAATATTTCATGACAAATGGATGAACAAAATGGTCCCAAAAATACTTGAAATTAAATCTAAAATAAAACGCATGCAACGTACATTTTTAATATATGTTATAAATATTATTTTTAAATCTTTGGTAAAGTTACCATTTTAATATTACTAAACATAAGATGGGCTGAGTAATCCAGCAATCTGGAGAGACCCTAGATGGTGGTCTACAGGCCTCTGGATTCTGTTTGCAGGCCACACTGTGCCTCACCGGGAAGAGGCGGGCTCTCGTCTGTTCTCGCCGGCAGGTCGAAGCCGTTAGATGCACTGCTTCTGCTTTGAGGGTGGGCTCCTTTGGCGTGACCAAAGGGAAGCAGAGCGAGAGAGGGTAAGCGAGAGAAAGAGAGAGACAGAAGGGGCACAGGTCTTTCTCAGGCAGCAGCCAGACAAGAGCGCAGCAGACTGGAGAGGCGCGTCAGCCGCAGACGGAGAGAGGGAGGGAGGGAGGGTGGAAAACTGGATCAAAGAGTCGCCAGGGCAACCTGCGTGACACACATTGTATTAAAGCAACACAGGCAATTTGAAAGGAAGAGAAGGAGGAAAAAGAAATATAAATGAACGCAACTGTGGTAGAGTAGATCAGGAGCCCTGTTGCGGGCAGTTCACTTCCTACATTCTTATCTATGCTAAATTGTGGGTTTGTGAAATTTGGGTTCCAGACACAGATAAGGTGGGAAAAGTGATGGCATAAAAAGATGTCTAAATGCTAACGTGGCAGACTGATATGAAGCTTGATGTTACTGTGCCATACTGATGACAGTGGATCAGTGGGTAAAGGCTGTGCATTTATTAGTTAAGCAATGGACAGTGACCTCTGTACTGAAGGACTTGAATATTTTCACTTACACCTCTTAAAACCATTGCTGACTGGATCTTAGAGCAATGTAGTGAACCACATATTGCTCTAAGTAGTCTGTTATCTCACACTTTCTGTGGTCCAAACAACCAGACAAGTCATATTTGAGGATGTAATGTACAGGATTATGACACTGGTTCATTATTTTAAACCTCTGAAACTGCAAAGGTCTGTGTGTGGGCCCACGCTTCCTCATCCTCATAACAACATAATATGTATATTAATTTCATAGTAGCTACCAAACACTTTATAACTAATACATATTTATACTGAGTAATAAGCCTTAAGATTGATAACTAAGTTAAGTCTGCAGTACAAGGGTCTAAAAAAGTTCAGTAGTTGTGTCTGTCGTAACTCATCACAGACAAATAGATTTTAAGCATTTTTACAATGACTTTATTCATTTGAACTAGTTTAAATACAAACATGTGGATGAGGCGGATCGAGTCCTATAACAGTGAAATATAATGTGTCAAATATAAATATACAGTAGAAACCACCATTCATTTATTTAATTTCCATGAAGTTATACATTTTTCAGCATGAGGAAAAATGCAGAAAACCTATGTAACAGAAAGTTACACAGCAGCCTGAACAACTAAATATAGTATCTTATTTTTCAGCGTATTTTTCCACACCTCTAATGTTCAGTATTAGAAGTTGGCTGCATTTTTTGCTTCTCACGATCCAAGTAATCCCACTTTCAGTGATGATTTAAGTCATTAAACTCCAATTCAATTGTTTATGCATTAGTCCTAAGGCTATTACTATCCAACAACACCTTCAGCGATGTTGAGGTCTGGACTCTGGGGTGGCCAGTTCATTGTTCTAAGAACACTAGCAGCTTCCTTGATTGATCTGCACATTTTCTTTTTTGTTTATTTCCTTTTCTCAGTAATGGCTTCTTGACAGCTACACATCCTTTCTGACTCGCAGCGTTGTCTCGAAAGGATGGACAGAAACACCTGTGGATTTGTCAAGATCTTAAGGAAGAGTGGAGCCTAATTATCTCCTATCTCTTAAAGACAAAAACTTTTAGCTCTGTTCATCTGACAGTTTTGGTGGTCTACCAGGTCTTGCATGGTCCAATTTTCTCTATATCTTTTCGTGATTTTTGAACTCCAGTTTTGAAAACTCCTGTTTTTGCACTTTTTTCCTTTGACTTTCCCCTTCCTAATACAAGTGGATTATCTAATATCTAATCTCCTCAGAATCTCATCTCCTGAAATTAATAACTTGGCCACTTTGACTGGAAATTAAATAAAGGAGGGGTGGTGGGGACCTTTGTACAGTACTGTGTAGAAAAATATGTCTTAGCAGAATGTCAGTAATAACGTTAATAGTAATGCCAGTAAAAAATGTGCTTTTCAAAATGAATCATCAAGAAAACCTGACTAGGACAATATAAAGCAAAGCTGTTAATATCCTATCCAACATGTCTGTGTTCAAATGAAGATATACAGGTCTCAACAGCTCTGATACAAGTCTATAAAGGGGTCCTGCGAGACACCTGTGAGACATAAAATATCACACATCGCAGAGGTACGGAGGCAGGAATCTAAATTTGCAGGAAGGAATCTGGATAATACGGGCGAGAAGCATCGGGTGAGGGCGTGGAGAGTGGCGGGCCAGGAAACGAGGTGGCAGACGGGGAGGGGTCTCCGTACACAGTTGGAAGGCATTAGACTAGTGGACAGGGACTTGTCAAATGCAGCTGTTGTGGCCACTGATTGATAGTTTGTATTCCAGCCCAAACCTGAAACAGGCCAGGCGTTCCCTAGTAAAAGGGTGTGTCGCCTTTTGAAACAACAAAATTAACAGTGTAACTCAAGAAGCCTATATACAGTCCACCAAGAGTAGAGAAGAGTATAGCAATATATGTTTGTTTGTCAGAATTTTACATCTACAAATTTACATAATGATCTACCAAATGAATGAATGATTACATTGTGTGCATAATGTAATACAGAAAACATACACATTGAAACAGTTACAAATTAATGAAATACTTTTGGCTACATCCTCATATGGTATTGAACTTCTCATAATTTCCTTGTTTCACCAGCCAGAAGAGCTGATCTGAAGACTTTAAATAAAGGAAGTGATGCATACAAATGATGTCACGATGCTTTACACTACATATAAGTACTCAACAGGCTTCTGATCAGATAACTTTTACTACGTTAATCACAAAGTAAAAATTCAACACTTCACTTTTTACAAATGGCACGTTTTTCAAGTTAAAAAAGGTTCCTTTCAAAAAAACTTTGGTTCATGTGCTACTAAAAGTTGAACCCTGACCTAAAATTCAGGATGACTCCATCTGCATGTGGCTGTTGTTTAGAGTTGACGTCCATTTCTCCTCTTCAGTGATATAAAAACAACCTTTGAGGGAGAGGTAAAAAATAAACAAGTCCTGCAAACTCCTCCAGTCAAACAACACTCCCCCACAGACACATCAAGAATTTTTCGTTTTGTCTAGCTGGACAATCATTTTTACTCTGAATCTTTGAAGTAAGACTGAATCATATCCTGCCAGGTCGTAGCTCCTTCTCTTCCAAAAGCCTGATGAGCTGACTGAAGCTTTCCCTCACCGCCTCCATGTTGTTTATCGTGCTGCCCTCAAGGATCCATCGCTTCCCTCTTGCCAGTGGCTCCAGTTCAAAGTACTTTTTTATCTGGGAAAAAAAGAGAGAGACTCATTCAGCCCTGGCTGTGTTTTGATAACCTTTTTTTCTGTGTGTGTAACACAACTTACACAAAACCTGTTTTCATTCAATCAAAGAGTGGAGTCAGCATACACAGAGTAAAATGCATTTGCAATTAATGTTGACACATTTTAGGATCATAAGTTTTGGAGCGTAAGGCTAAACCTTAGTTTAAAAATAGTGCTACCTCCATGACGACTGTTGTCTCTTGTTCAGTTTATTTGGTCATGGGTCATGTTCAGTGTGCCAAGATTGATGGCCTTAGGATATATCTTTTATGGGAGAAATGCAGCGTCTGAAAAGTTCAAACTAGTAACTGGAAAAAGCGGTGGCTCTGCGTTACACCTCCTCAATTAGTTTTCCATCCTCTACAGATAATCACTTCTAAAGAGAAAGGAAAAACAGCTGTCAGGAGACCATTAAGAAAACATCAGAGCGACAGAGATGTAAAATCTGACAGCAATAACACTGTGGCTATAGTACCCAATGAAACTATGCACATTTGGTTAATATGGCCACTCGACATAATCAACATTCTGCGTAACGTTTGATTATGAGGATCATGTGTTAGCTTGGTATTCGATACTTGATTTACTTCTATATGTCAGCACTTCATTAAACTATAAGTAAACCCAAACCATCTGTTATACAGAATGCATTTAAGAGAGGATATTTTGATCCATTCCTCCAAAAGAATGAGCAGGACTCATTTAGTTTTCCAACAACAGTAAGTGCTCTGCCTCACACCAGACGTGCTATGAAACCATATGCATTAAAACATTTTCTCTGATTCTGAAATGATTTACTCCCCTACAACAAGTGCCTGTTTTAATCGACTTACATTTTGGATTGACTGGTTTAAGTCTGCATTTACGACGTTCTTCCTATTTATTTCGATGTCAAGTAATGACAAAAACTTGGCAAAAATGTTTTGTTTTTTTTCCACATAACAATAACCCTCAAATTCAAGGCATAATAAAATGTCTCCTCTTCTACTTACAAACACAAAAAAACTGTATAGATCAAAGTTTGGAATCCACACTTGCACCAAAATTTCTCCATTTCTTATAATAAACTACAAGTAAGAAATAATTAATATTGAATTAGCATGATTTGGCCATCACAGGCAATAACTGTGCCTTCCAAGGGATAATACAAGGAAAAATTAATGTACAACCATTTCTAATGATGGGAATTTAAACTTCTTTGATTTGAGATGAGGTACAATATGTGTAAGAGGAGCTGTTAGATGCTGATCAATCTTATCATTTACCCTCTTTAGAACAAACAAATGGACAGCATCAGACGTCCTTAACCAAATTAGATAATCTGCTAAAGAATGTTCCTTTTGAGCATTCAAAGATAAGGGCTCAGACAGATACTGTAGCACCTGGTCAGATGAAGTTGTTTTGTATCACAGTGCCATATCACTGTTATCACAGTTTCGTAGAGTATATTACAGTGTGAAGTAACTACATGGCTGAGATTAAAACTGTCAATTTGAATGTGTATCTGTTTCTTAATTTACTCAGTCTGTGGACTATGTGAGCTATTATTATTTATACTTAATCCAATAGTTATGTTCAATAAATTAGCGAGAAAGCATAGCAACAAATTGATTTAAAGATATATTTAAATATTTTATGCCTATTTAAAAGGAATGACCAGGAATAATGACTCTATTTATCACTGCATGCCTAATCAGTGTGTATATAAAGAGTGCTAAATAAACTCTGTTGCTCAGCCTTTTCTAGTTCAGTGCAGCCACCTATCCGTGCCATGCTGGGATTTATTAGTGTCTGCCTCTTTCATGAGGGCCCACTCCAATGAGTCGGAAGATTGCGTCTCGTCTTTCCTCCTGGAGAGTCTTTGGGAGGCATTGAGCTGTGGCTCGATCGTAGTGTAACAGGAGTTTAATGACAGATTAAGTCACTTCAACGGGTGTTAGCCTTGGGGCCTGGCCGACCCAAACAGTGTTAACAAATCCGTCTCGGTAACAGGAGCTGCCCTAGACCAGCGATGAGACTGCCCGCCTGCCTTCCTGCCAGTCTGTCTGTCTGTCTGTCTGTGGCAGGCCCTCTTCTGGAGGATACGGGGTCTGCACTGAAACTATGGTGCACCATCCTCACGTTTATGTAAACAGAGTAAAATGTATGTAAAGAAAAGCAGTTTTTTTTCTTACAGCTAATTTTACCATTGTAGATGATCCCAGATGGTTATAAGTTGTTGAGAATACGAGTGACACCTGCACAGTTTATCACTTTTAAAACTTTGTTAAAAAATCATTTATTTTTTTTTTTACAAGCATGCAGTATTATTCTGAAGCAATTTAAAAGTAGTGGTGCCAAGACACAAAACATACTACCTCTTTAATTCCTGAGCACTCTCCTGTTTGCGTGAGACTATGGTCATGGTAAGCCTCGCAGGATGGTGGCAGATGGCTGCTGGGATGACCACTAGGTCATCCAGTCTAGTCTTCTCTAGGTCACTGGGACCAATGCTTGGTCTAGCTGAGAAGAGAAAGCGGCTTACGTCTGTGAAAAACGCTTGAAAAGTTTCTCTGTCCTCAATCTATGCTGGCCCTGTCTAGAAGCATGTAGGTACAGTAGCAGAAGCGATAAAGTAGAAAGCAAAAAAAAAAAAACCTCTGCAAACCATTTTTTCTTCATTTGTCAGCTGATTCTGTGTGTGTATAGTGTTGTACATTTCTAGAAACAATTTGCATTGCTTTTGCAGTATCCTATAGAGAAGAAAAGCTAAAAAATACTAGAACAAAGTGCAGTCCTGACACAACTTTCTTTCCTCTGTATATGCTCCTGTGTAGACACGAGTAGTAGAGAGATTTCAGGTTTCCTTCTTTCAACATATTAATAACAAAATGGCTAAATGGACAGCATGAGTCAAACAATAACTATAACAAGGCAAGCTCTGCTGCCTTTTACTGTCTTTCTCTCATCTCTCCCCATCACCTACTTTGTCTTCATCTTACATGTGTACACAAACATGCAACAGTGACCTCATTCCAATGATGTAGAGCAGGTGTTTGAAACTGACAGCAGTGGTCAGAAAAGAGGCAACAAGTGTATCTGATTGAGATGTAGAGAGTTCCTCATCTCAAATGTGGGCTGAACTAAGTCCACTTGGCCTGAACAGACATGGCTTGCTGTCTTCAATCGGCTCATGCAACAAAATGCTCATTTGCCATGCATTTGAGAGGCAGGCTAATCTTAAGATGGCCCCCCTTTAGACCACTGACAGCAGAGGGTACAAAGTGTGTCCAACTGCTCCTTGGCCTGCACAGACTAATATTACATCTGATAGTTATAGAGAAGGGCCAGCAGTGTTGGCAGGGTCAACAGGATAAATTTCAGACCTCACAGGACTGACCCCTGTTGCCTGGCTTGCTCTAGATTTTCTAAACAGTATGTGTATGGTGCTGACATCACCTAATAATATAAACAAAAGCTTTTAGAAGATGCGTACTTTAGAAGAATTAACTGAACAATAACATGTCGAAATGTACATGCTAGAAAGTATCTATCTGTCTTTTGTTAGCTGGCGCAGAGAACATGCTGATCCATGCTTGAACTTTACAGAGAATGCATGATATATTACACAACCTGTGAATGCACGGTTGATATAATTTGACTGGCTGTCTGGGAAGGACTGACCGTGGCATGAGCTGAATGGAGCAAGGCTGCACCAGTGGGCCAGTGGCCAGCAACTGCACTACGATTCTCTTGGAGCCATCTGGCCAAGACAGCTACAGTAAATCCTACTAGACCTACTGCTCTTGAACGCACGTGAATGTGAATTACATCCATACCATTACACTGTTATACCCACTAAACACTCCGTCCCAATCATAAATGGCTTTTGGGAAAATTCATCTGTGAGGAGTTTACAAGCCATTCTAATGGATGCAGTGATGAAATTCCATACGGCCTTGGAGGTCGGAAAAAAAACACTCTGGTTACCTGCCCAGGCAAACAGTCACGGGTTCATTTCGTAGCACCAGTCAGAGTTAAATGAGCAAAAAGGGATTCATGTTACACTGTGTGTGAATAACTCCCAGCTGTTATGAGGGTCTGGATGATCAGATTGTGCTAACATATAGCCAGTTGAAAATAAATATCTGCTTAATATTAAAACCAATCCATTTGAAACACGAAAACCAATAATTAAATGTCAATCTTGGACTATAAAATTCTGACAGGTTGGCATGACTACATACCCATGAGGCTTGCGTGCAAAATAATTAATTAACCTAACTAACATAATTAGACTGACAGAGAGCCACCTAATAATGCTATTTGATCTAACTTTTGTGTGACCGCTTCATGAGCTATGGAATTTTCCCAAACTCTGGTAAAAATAATTTTATAAAGTTTCAATGTTCTTTGGGTGCCTGTATGTTCTTTTCTTCCTTAACAGAATGTCCACCAAGACTCAAATATAGCTTTAAAGGAGAAAGACATGCATGCCGATTTGTGGTCCTTGTCTGTGGTCAGACAGCACTCTGCACTTGTTACTGTAGACAGGCTGCCCCCTGCCAAAGAGCAGCACGGAGGCTCACTTTGGGCGTAAAAGGGGCATTCTCAAATATCAGAGACAGCCAATTACTCCAGCTGACAAGTTGCCCCCTGAAGATATCGGTGACCTGTGAAATGGCATGCACGGGAAAAGAATGTGTCTCGATAACACCAGAAGCACTTACTATGAAACTGAGATGGCCTCATTCGTTTTCTCTATGCCTAAAGAGCCTATCTTCATGTTCTTGGCAAGATTCTGAATTTTTAAAATTCAGACGGCTCATGCTTTTTGAGAAAACATATACCACAATGTTGGAGTCTCATTTGAGCAACAGCCACACAAGCATTCAAGGGCTTCAGAGGGATTGGAGTTAATGCCCCTTTCACCTGTAAACTGAGCATTAGCAGCACGTGAAGTGCGCTGGCGGCGGCATGTGA